TTTGAAGATAAACGAAATTAGTCCAAATATCAATTCTGGTAATTATGCAGTTGTACCTATTTTGTTAGCAATTTTATTTTAGCTGTTATTTGTATTTCATGTATTCAGTAACTGACAGTCAAATATGTAGCTTAAATTGTTCATAGAACACTTACATATCAATTGAATATTATGGAACAATTTGCAGGTTATTATCAAGAAATAAATAAAATAGACTATTTTAAGGCTGCTCAACAGCAGCGCAAAAATATTTGAAAATATATGAATATTTAGATATGCGCATGATAATTACATTTCTTTGCTTCTAATTATCATACATCATATTATTTAAATATTGTAGCAAAGTGTCTTTGCAGCCGGGGTAGCCACAGTTAAATTTGTTTAAAACTTTCAAATGTAAATAATCAAAAGATTCAAACCAACAGTTTGGGAAGAAGGAAACAAATTGTTGCGCAAAGTGAGGGCGTTGATTTTAATCAAAAGTTATTTGCTTACAGTTAACGCGGACTAGAACATAATGGTTACTTATGTTTAATAGCGTTTTGTTTTATTTTCGTTATTCTCGTTTTTTCCACAGGTCCCCTACTTAGTGAGGGTTGAGGCTCAACTCTTGCTCCCGTTCAATGTCGCTGCCCTCTGTTACCACACAATTGCAGTGAGTTTTGATCTGGAAAGTTTACAGTGCGCAAGAACTCCGCCCTCTGGGCACCACTCACACGTCCCTCAAACCCCTAATGAACTTCACCTTCACCTCTATCTAACCCGGCAAACACCACGTTTGACCCAAACGGGTGGATCCCTAGTTACCAGAAACAATTTCAACGTTGTGGACTAAAACACATAATCAATCATTTCAAAAAGAAATATCATCAAGCAGTCTACATTGTCGATTTCTTTCCTTGCAGCATTTTGGAGGTAGGAAATACATTGAGGCAGAAACCAAGCGGAGCATTACTTGCACGGGAAATAACCTTCACCGCTTACAAACAAAATGCAAATGTGAAAAGAGAGATCACGACTGTGGATCTTGTATTTTGACATTAATCGGATTCCTAATAAGAATTATTGGGAATGATCCGACTGATCTTGAATGTACCTTGACATATTGCCCCAAGATTCACCTCACATTGCAGAACGTCACACAGCTGACGCAAAGTATTGCCACATTACCCAAAATGTTGATCGGAGTGCGCTATCCTCCACATTTGAACCAAACCAAAGTTATCACACTGAGACCTTACATTACAGATTCGAGGTGAAGGTCTTTTTTCAAACAAATCCATGTAATACTAAATTAATATCTACACTTGTGAGGATCTCAGCTTTAGGCTTGATGTACCTCCGCTTGGCATAATAATGTGCAACATCGCATTTTGGTACTTTTTTTCTCTCTCAGCACAACCAGGTCATTTCAACATATTTGCTTTGCACTCAACAACTTGTAAAATAAACTATTACATTGGAAATGTTGAACTGTTTCAACATAGACAGCTTATTGGACTTTGAAACCATTAGTTAAGAGATGTTCTTCGGATCATTAGGGAAGATTTGAACGTCAAACCTATGACTATCCAGGCGTCATAGTCTATCAGGTAAACTCTCTAGTTCGCTTTCAATACGGCTGTATTTCCTAAACTTTGCAGCTAGTGGATTTGATCTGCTTTAGCGTGAAGGTAATTGGAGATTTGATGTGTTTTCAAGTTGGGTTTCCAATCAGTCACAGCCAAGCATTGTCGTGAACACACATACTGTCGCGATTCAGTTCCCCCTCCCAATCGGTCCACATACAAAGCAACTTGACAATAGTCATGGAATTATGACATTATATGCACGATTTCCTTTGTTTGCATCGATCTTCTGTTGGTGGCAGGTCAAATCTGTACTACTTTGGTATAAACACGAGGATTTCGACTCGTTTGTAAGTAATCGTTAAAATATTCTGATGCGCTCCTGACAACCTCAGCATGACTACCCTGTGGAAATTTATCGTAACTGTGCAATTTTTAATGTGCATTTGCATAAACTATTTCAATGATAACATCCTTAAAATCACGATTGTCGGTTTATGCTGATTATTAAGACGTTTGACAAACAGGCGCCTTAGGCCCAGAGTTTGATTAAATTAAATTGCAAGAAAAAAAACAATGAAAGAAAGACTCTGCAGGACAATATACACACACATACAATTCAAACAATCTTAGGAAGTCAACGACGAATTATTGAAAAGAAAAAGAGATTGTGGACTTACCAAATGCAAGTTGCTGCAATCAACGACACGTTCCAGATCAGTGAAACTTCAGGGGTTAAACAGCGGAATGTTTCTCTTTCCTTTTGTAAAATGACACTTTACGAAAAAAAAGTCTTTAAACTTTTCCTAATTGTATAAGTTTTTTTTTTGAAATTACTTTGAGATTCAATTTGTAAGGGAGCCACAGATCTGAAAAGCAGGCGTGCCTTTGACCTGAGCTGCAGTGAAAAGAAAAGAATTGGAACTTTTTAAAGATGTGATTCGGTTTATTGTCTTTCTAATAAACTCTATACAGAATTTTATCAACAGATAGATTGATTTTATTTTCTAGTTCCGGAGCGCAAGTTTGGAGCAGAGAAACGGGATAGATTTTCCCCAGAGTACGCGTGGAGCAGTCAGCGGCCCGGATAATAGCTAACGTCACTGCGTCTTGTCTCTATGTAAATGAAGCTTCACGTTTCTTTAGGTCAAAGAAAAACCTATTATAGATCCCCTCAGTAACGCCTCGCAAATTCTCCTTTCCTTTTTTTTTCCTATCAATTTGCCTGTATTTAATTCAGGAGACACACTTCCTTCTTTCACATAACCCCGTTTAACATTACAGCGATAACATCTAGAGCCGAGATTCATTTTCCTTCGGGCCTATTGTGAGAGGCACTAGCCTTCTTGCGTTACTCGTGGGCATAGTCAATGTAATACAAGAAGAACAAATAAGGATAGCACCCTGCACAGACCTACAGCGGATCGAATTTGTAAGAAATGTGTTAGTAAAGGTTTTATCACAAATGTGGTATCTCAGCCTTTCGAATATTCTATATTTTCAAAGAGAGCTTCGGTGCTTTTAGTCATAAATGATACAACCAAAGTAATTGTCTCCGAGTCGCTGTATGAATCAATCAAATCTGAAATGGGGTTATAAATGTACATAACATTCCTTGGCACAAGCTGTCATTTCTACGAAAGAATGTATTTAATAATCATGTTGTTTCTGAATCGACAAAATCCCCAGCGTACATGAAGCACTTGGCAGCTTTCAGCTCTAACATTTCCTTGCTCTCAGTGGTCATACACTTCAATATGAATTTGTAACTAATACCTCAATGTCAATAGAACAATTCGACAAACCAAATATGAAATTATGACTTTCAACTAAGTTCTTGGTGAATCACTCTCTATTTAAAAATATCATGTTTATATTTTACACCTGACATCGCAGGAGGCATTGGATTCTTAACGTCTTTTGAAGACTGTGTATTGTTTCAAAAATGCACGAACTGTTCGAGGTGGCTGTGAAAAGGCAGGGCTCCACTTTTAGGGAAACCACATTTCGATCAACAACATAGCACTGCTGCAATTATATTAACGTTTAAACTATTTACCTCAGACAGTCCTGAGTGCTTCATAACTGAACGACAAATGAAGAGCAAATAGTTTGAAGACTAGCGCGTTAGGTGAAATAAATTTTGATAGGAAGTAGATTTAGGAATGCATTCAAACCTGTTCCGTTTTTCTCTTTTTTGTTGTTGTATATAATTTGTAATAAACCGTGGATTTAACGGTTCTAAGAACACGCTGCGCCAGTATAAAACTCATTAAGAACAGTTAAAAAAAAAGGGAGCATATTAGTTAAGTTGGAACCTAACAAACATTATACCAACGGTTCGGGTTAAACGTGGGTGAGTAAAACAGGATAAATTAGGCCTAAATAAGGGGGAGGGGGTGGTTTCATTTCTGACTAATTTGGAATACTTTGATCTCTTTGATGGGGTACAGGAATGTATGCGGCGAGAAAGCCACCATTTAAAAAAAAGTATTACTGCAGATCACTATTGCATTTAGTGGTGATAAAGAAGAGGACAAGATGTCAACATTTCTGAATGTAACCTATTTTTTTTATTTCGGTGCCTTCTGTATAGTAAACATTTTAAGTGACAACACGGGCATATGATCACAATATCACAATCATGAAATTTAGAGACGACATTAACAATCACTCAAGGAATTTATGAGGCATTTAAGCAACACAAGTTACACGTCCGCAAGATTTATCCTTTAAGTACAATAGGTTTACACATTTCACTACAGTTACAGAAAGAAATGAAAAGGGACCTGTTAGTGACCACATACATCGAATTATGCACAACACAAACTAAAGGCAATCATCAATTTTGTCCCCTTCTGATTCTTTTGCAGGCAGTGTTGTAAACTGGAAAAGAGGAATTATTTTCAAAGTACTTGTTCTTTTAAACAAGGAGTGCATTTCTAGCCCCGTCTTTGGTCTCAACGTAAACATGAACCATTTTGTAACCAAATGGGAAAAAAATGACCGAACGTTAGGCATGTTTTAAGTAAGGTTACCATATACAGTACAAATCAAGCGTTCAATTTTCATTATTTCGCGTATAAAATGTTTCCGCCAATATTGAGATCAGCAGCCACCAAGAAAGGTAATTTCTAATACTGCAAATATGAAAATCTGGTGGAACAGTTGGATCAGACCTGCCTAATTTAAACTCAGTTGGAATGTAGTCATTTTAAATACACAGTCTACATTAATTTAACTCGTGGTTTCCTATCTAAACCGCCTCAAATTGCACATTGCTGAAACTGAATAAACAAACAATCCTACGGTATTTGACAAAATGCAGACAAAAATGGGGACTTGAATAAAAATACCTGGGCTTCTTTTGAGAATTATTTACAACGCAAATGTGTGTAAAATGTTAACTTACAGTCTGTTCGAAGGGATTTGTTAGTGTATTAGAGGGTTTGAAGAGGGCCCCTGGTTTTGATGTGTGAAGTAGTCAGAAAGTCCTCCAGAAAGTCCTGTGGAGAAACTTGGCAAAGAAGGTCTTAGAGATTCACAGGGGAGAGTTGAAGGCGCCTGTGGAGACGTGGACGACGCTGTCCTAGCCGTCATTGAAGTGCTGCTTTGAGAAGTCATTGAAGGATGAGGAACATGGGGGAAAAAGTAACTTGTCTGTCCTGCCAAAAGGTTTACCGAGCAGGGGTTTAACGAATACGTGCCGGAGCATGGAACAGACAAACCGCACGGCACCGAGGCAGCCAAGGCGGCTGCAGCCGTTAGGTGGTGGGTGGCATAAGGAATTTCTCCGTTCACAAGTCTATCTACACTTAAGCCATTTGAAGTTGGAAAGGAGTGGTTGTTTGCCAGAGAGTTCTGAGTTAACACCGAGCTGTAGGACATCGGGTGGCTGGGATAAGGTGAGGTGGTTCCATTATAACTCAAGGTACTGCTGGCTCGGGGGTGATGGAGGGACAGGAATGGCGAGACCGGCCAGTATAAGGAACCTGCCCTGTCCATGAATGTCAGGCCGGTGGAGGTGAGGCGCGCTCCCCGCTTGAAAGCTAACTTGGCCCGAGAGGTGGTGGATCTCCGGCGGAGCTTGCCCGTGGTGCCGCCTATAAAGACATCGTCGCTCGATGGGTCCAGCATCCAGTAATTGCCCTTCCCAGGGTCGTCGTAATGCCTCGGCACCTTGACGAAGCACTTGTTCAGGCTGAGGTTGTGTCGGATGGAGTTCTGCCAGCCCTGCTTGTTCTCCCGGTAATACGGGAAGTTCTTCATGATGAACTCGTAGATGCCGTTGAGGGTGAGCCGCTTCTCGGGGCTCTGACGGATGGCCATCATGATCAGGGCGTTGTAGCTGAACGGGGGCTTCTCGTACTTGCCGTTCTTCTTCTCGCCCTCCTTGCCGGCGTCTGCCTCCTTGCCGTCGGCCTTCTTCTCCTCGGGCTTGTCCTTGTCGTCCGAGCCGACTGGATCCGCCGAGCTGCTCTCGCTTTTGCCGCCGGCGTTCTCCGGCTTGGTGTCGAGAGCTGGCAAGCATGGCTTGTCATCGTGCTCGGGGCCAGCGCGCTGGCGGCTGTCACTCTGCACCGCTTCGGGCACCAGGCTGTTTATGCTGAACGAAGACTTGGGGATCATCTTCACTTCTTTCTTATCTCCCATGTCCAACATCACACACACACACACACGGGGGATTTTTTTCCCGAAAAAAAAATCCCGAGAAAAAAAAATATAATAATAATAAAAAAAAATAAATTGTGATCGCCGCAGCACAGTTGGACCGCAAATCGCACAAACGTTGGCAACTCCGTGTAGTAAAAAAAAAGAGCCACTACTTCATGTTCTTAAGAAGAGGTCGCTCGGAGCCAGGCAGCTCCGCGCCCATGGAGCCCGGCCCCTGGCTGCCCAATCACAGCCGCCGGCGCGCCTGCGCGTCGCCCCGGGCCGCAGCCAATCAGCGCCGCGCCCTCTCTCCGCCTCCTCCTCCTCCTCCTCCTGCTGGCGGAACACTACAGCGCCAGGGCGTGGAAAGAGGTCAAAGCCGCGTCACCGCCACCCCACGGCAGCAACCCCCCCCCTTCCAACCCCCACCGTCCCAAGCAGCACCCTCCAACCCTCACCCTCCCCCAACACTTCACACGCAAACCTCCACTTCCCATTCCACTCCGCACTCACTCCCTACCTCACCTCCCCCCACCCCCACCCAACCAAATCCTCCGGATGGTGGTTGCTTTTCTCAGCACGCTTCCTTTCTATTATTTTGAAAAGTTTGTGGATTTTCTCTTGTTGTCATTTTGTTGTCTCTCCATCTCTCTTTTTTGAATTTAACGCAGGCCGGGAATTGAACTCCAGGAGGAGGAGAAGGAAGAGGAGCAGAACTATTTTCTCGGGGTCCCAGGCTCCAGTCCCCAGTTCGGATGCGTTGTGAGTGGCTGCAGTCAAGGATTGACAGTGAGAGAAGCCCCTGCATTCCCCCCCCCCCCCCCCCCCACCCCCCCCCCACACCACACCTCTCCTGCCTCCCATCCCTCCACACGCACCCTTGCAATTTCACCCCAAGCACATCTCCCAGGCCCACGCAGAGCAAGAATCCCTGGTTCATGTGTTTGTGTTCGATGTTGCGCTGCCTCAGTGTTAGAAAACTTGACTCAGGGCAGAGCTGGAGCCGGGGGCGAGAGTCAGGATTAGATCAGGGACTGGGTGGCAGAAACTAGGCTCTGACGGGAGACTGGTGCAGGAGCCAGGGAGCTCTCGAGTTGGGAATCGGGGCAGGAGACTGCAACGAGATTGGATCAGGGATTGGGAGCAGGAGCCAGGGTTGGATCAGGAGTCGGGGGAGGATGTGGGAGACAGGGTTCGATCAGGGGTTGGGGACAACAGCCGTTGTTGGTTTGGGGTTGACGGGGGGCGGGAGCTGGGGTTGGATCAGGGTTGGGGACAGGAGCCGGGTTTGGTTCAGGGATTGAAAGTGGGAGCCGGGATTGGATCAGGGATTGGGGTCCAGGAGCTGTGTTTGGACCAGGACATGGGGGATGGGAGCCAGGTTTAGATCAGGGGTTGGGAGTAGCAGCTGGGGTTGGGTCAGAGATTTGGGGAGCAGGAGGTGGGGTTACATCAGGGGTTGGGAGCAGAAGCTGGGGTTTGATTAGGGGTTGGGGGGGCGGGAAGTGGGGTTATATTTTGGGGTTGGGAGCTGGATTAGATCAGGGGTTGGGGGTAGGAGGCGGGGTTAGATCAAGGGTTGGGGGGTAGGAGGCGGGGTTAGATCAGGGGTTGGATGTGGGAGGCGGCGTTGGATCAGGGATTGGATGTGGGAGGTGGTGTTGGATCAGGGATTGGATGTGGGAGGCGGTGTTGGATCAGGGATTGGGTGGGTGGGAGCCGGGGTTGGATTGGGGATTTGGGGCAGAAGCTGGGGTTGAATCAGTAGTTGAGTTTGGCAGGCGGTGTTGGATCAGGGGTTGGGGGACAGGAGTAGGGGTTAGATCAGGGATTGGGGGTTTGGAGCTGGGGTTGGATCAGGGGTTAGGCAAGGGTGGGAGCAGGGGTTGGGTCAGGGATTGGGGTGCAGGAGTTGTGTTTGGACCAGGACATGGGGAAAAGGAGCCGGGTTTAGATCAGGGGTTGGGAGTAGCAGCTGCAGTTGGATCAGAGACTTGGGGGGCAGGAGGTGGGGTTGGATCAGGGGTTGGGCAAGGGTGAGAGCTGGGGTTGGGTCAGGGATTGGGTACAGGAGCTGGGTTTGGATTAGGGGTTGGGTGGGGTGGGAGCCGGGGTTAGATCATGGATAGGGGGTTGGGAGCTGGGGTTGGATCAGGGTGGGGGAGAGGGATGGGAGCCGATGTTGGTGTAGGGGTTGGGAGGTGGGAGCCGGTATTGGATCAGGGATTGGGTAAAGGAGCTAGGGTTGGATCAGGGATTGGGGGTGGGTGCCAGAGTTGGATCAGGGGTTATGGGTGTGGGAGCCGGTGTTGGATCAGGAATGGGGGTGGTGGGAGCTGGTGTTGGATGATGGCTTGGGGTCTGGAGACAGTGTTGGATCAGGGATGGAGAGCAGGAGCTGTGGTTGGATCATGGGTTGGGGGTTGTGAGCCGGGATGGAATTAGGGGTTGGGGCTGGATCAGGGTTTGGGTCAGGGACTGGAGGCAGGCACTGGGACTGGGTCAGGCGATGGGGGCAGGAGTCAGGTTGGATCAGAGATTGGAGTTGGGAGCCGGGGTTAGATCAGGAATTAGGGGCAGGAGCTGGGGTTGGATCATGGTTTGGGAGTGGCACCTGTGGTTAGATAAAGGGTTGGGAGTTGTGAGTTGGGGTGGAATCAGGGGCTGGGGGCAGGAGCCGGGTTCGGTCAGGGACTGGAGGCAGGGACTAGGTCTGGATCAGGAGTTGGGAGCAGGAGTCAGGGTTTGATCAGGGATTAGGAGAATGGGAGCCAGGGTTGGATCAGGGATTAGGGGCAGGAGCTGAGGTTGGATCAGGGATGGGGGTTGGGAGCCAGGGTTGGACCAGGGGTTAGGTGTTGGGAGATGGGTGGATCAGGAGTTGGAGGCAGGAGCCCAGTTGGGTCAGGGGCTGGAGGCAGGCACTGGGACTGGGTCAGGGGTTGGGGGCAGGAGCCAGGTTTGGGCCAGGGACTGGGACTGGGTCAGG